CGGGCACTCGGAGTGAGGAAGCTGAGCCCGCGATATATTGGGCCATACCAGATCCTTGGTAGAGTAGGACCTGTTGCCTACCGGCTTGCCTTGCCTCCGAACCTGGCTAACATCCACGACGTGTTTCACGTGTCTCAGCTTCGGAAGTACATATCAGATCCTTCGCACGTGGTGCAACCGGATGATGTGGAGGTTCGGGAGAACCTGAAGACTCCCGTCGAACCACTCAGGATTCTCGATCGTGGCGAAAAGCAGCTGAGGAGCAAGATCATTCCAATGGTCAAGGTGCAGTGGACCGGAAGAACTCCTGAGGAGTGTACTTGGGAGCGTGAAGACGAGCTTCTCCGGCAGTACCCCGAGTTTTGACCAGGTATGTTTCTGATTTTGAGGTCAAAATCCTAAAAAGGTGGGGTGAATGTAAGAACTCGCACCGTTAATTAAGGTATTTAATTAATTAATTATGCAAAATTAGGAAATAATTCCATAATTGATCCTAATAATTATTTATGAGGCTTAATTATTATAATAAGTGGGTTAGAATGCTGAAAGTCGCTTTTCGGAAGAAAAGTGCAGATACCGGTTCTGCTAGTCGGTATAAATGCGTACCGAAAAAGTATCCCGGAAAATTAAAGTAAGTGCATGATAATTACTAGAATAATATGTAAGACTTGTAAAACGAGTTTCAAGTCCAAATAATGAGAACTGGTGCTAGAAATCGGTACTGGCTCTGAAAAGCGCGTACCGAAAAGGTGTTCAGAAAAATATAATAAAAATATGATAATTCTTGGAAAAATATGTAGTTTCAGAATTCAAAGTTTGGGATTAAAATGCTAAGCGTAGAAATTAAAGTTAATACTGTGTGTTTTAATGAGTTTTGGCTATTTATACCCTTTGTAAGGGCACAAAGCCCTAGAAAACAGATTTGCTACGTGTCTTTTCTTGGAGGCTGACCAGAAATAGTGTTCTTAGGCTTCCTTCTCCATTTCTTGAGCAAGCATTCACATTTGATGCTTGTTCTTCTATTTAAACACTTGGTGAGGGTGAGGGTTGGCCTTGGGACTGCATTGTTGGCCTTTTTCTGAGTTAGAGAACCTGTGTGGGGAAGTTTTGGTTCTGACTTGGTGGTTTGGGGTTGTGAAAAGCTTGGTTTTGGTTTTTGGAGGTCCAAGTGGTGACCTTTTGTGTTAAAGAACCAACCTTTGTGAAGCCATTTTCGTGCATCCTCTTGTGACAGTAGCTTGAGACTAATTGTGAGCTCCAAAGGGCAACCTTTCCTTCTGTTTTGAGCTGGGGTATGTGTACCAACCTTTAACTTGAGTTTAAATGCTTAAAAATGGTACCTTGATGCATCTAATGACTAAAAAATGATAACTTGTGGTTGGGTATGTTGAACACGCCTAGAAATGCATGATTAGGTGTTTAAAATCGGTAAAAAGGGAACCTTTAAAGGATATCTTCACGAAAATGCAGAAACTGCATTCTGTCGTGAAATATCCGGATATCTGCCCGTGGAATATCCGGATATTGGATATCGGGATATGATATCCGGATATGTGATATCCGGATATGGGGTTTTGGGATATCTGGATATTGGATATCCAGATATGTGAATCTGCATATCCGGATATGGACAGTGAGATATCCGGATATTGCTTATCCGGATATGGTCCCGAGGAATATCCGGATATTCTGGGATTTCGTGGAACAGTAGTTGTGCTGTGTGTACAGTAGGCTATTGGGGGTTTGTGGACCCTAGATTGATGAAGTTGAACTTCTGTAATTAGTGGACTAAGCCAGAATCATGTGATTAAGGGTTTGTGGCTTTGTTAGAAGCTTTAAGACATTAAAACGTAATGAAAAGACGTTGTCTTTAATTTGTATGCATGTGGTACATGTTTATTGATTTATATTTGGTCCATATCAGATTGTGATCTGCTGTGATTGGACTGCTTGTGGGATTGGATAGCTAGCTTAGAGGTAAGCTTTCGTGTCCTCGGTTTAGCCATGTTGTCGTTCCACCATGTCCCATGGGGGTATGATATATGCATGCTGTGTTACATGCTTTTGATGTTTTGGAAATGCTGTTGAGCTGTTATATGTTAGTGCCTTGTTGATATGCATGGAGGTGTTCCACCTATACGGTAAGCCTGAGTATGTAGAACATACAATGGGGTGATACTGTGGGTGAGGTGCAAGCGGTGTTCCTTGTACTACATGTAGGGAATAGACGTATTCTTACATTTCTCTGGCCAGTAGATAGTGATTACACACATGCCATAGATATCTGTTGCACTACATAGTTTTGGAACTGATAATGATATTACTGCTTTTAGAACTTATATTGCACATGTAAGTGAGCTTGGGGTGGAAGATCCTTGAGGACCCCTTGCCTTACTGAGATTTCTTGTTTAGAGATCTCACCCCACGTTTGGGGAATGCTTATTTCAGGGTCAGGTAATGTTGAGACCTCAGGCGGCAGGAGGCCGGAGCTGAGTTAGATTGCTGTTATATTATGCTGCCATGTTTGGATGCTGGATATGCATGCTGCTTATATGCTTATAGCTTCAGTTTATGTTTATGGAGTTTTATGTTGACACTGGTTGTTTACTATGTTTATTTGGTGAGCATGGGGATTGTCCATGACACATAGTATTGTTATGTCTTGATTATGTCTTGAGTCTTTTGGAGTTGTATTAATGTATCAGGATATTGTCTGGATTACGAGATGTAATACCGTGATTTAGATACACACTTTATTTATATATTGAGGTATTTCAGTAGATGTCTTATTACAATTTATATACAGGCGATATTTTATGAAATTGATTAAGTAATCAAGTTGGTAATTGATAATGACGTCATAATTGAAAAGAAAAAGAATATTCCGCATTTTTAATTAAGCACCGCTCAATACGATGTAATGTTAATATTCCGAGTATACACGGGGTGTTACAGTGAGCATATGAAGTTCTTCCCCATAAATTTATCTTATTTGATATGTATTGATAATTGGATTTCATATATACATTTGAATCTTTAAACTGATTATAAATGAACATCTAAATTCTATCCTTATTTGTTTGTTTACATTTTTTTGTTTACTTGTTTTTTTTTTTTTTTTTACCTTTACAACTTTAAGATAACATAGCATTCCGAACCTAGCCAAAGGAAATACTTAAAAGGGGCAGAGGATATATTTTTTTTAATTGGAAAAAAATAATTTTTGGGAATATATTGAGAATTTTTTTTCCTGGATAAATTATTAAAAGGTGTTTGGTAGGTCATAATTTTTTCGAGAATATTGGATTAATTTTACTGATGCCATGTTTGGTTGGGGAGAAAATATTACTGGAAATCTGAACCGAAATTACAGAATTATCCTAATATCTTTTTGTCTCATTTTACTTTGCCTTCATTTTAGCTTTGCTTTCTCTCTCTCACCAATTCCCTGAGTAAAGGAGAGACTTGTAATGGGATAGAGCAAGAGCAGATACAATGTCATGGTGATGAACCCATGTTTACTTCCTGTGCCTCCGAACCTCAACGTAGTTCTTGGAATAAAACAGCTTGGAAAATCAGTCTTTGAATGTGGGAAGGATGGCTATGCATTGATATCTCTTGTTTCGATTATTGGTTTCAATTTTCCAAACTCGAATTTTGTGGTCTTGGTGAGCACTAAATAACATGTCACCAAAAACAATTAGGGACTTGATGGCTCCATTCCTGATTACGACCACATTGTTGGTGTGGCCTTTGACGGTGGATAGGAGTTAGTGGTGTGAAGTTTGGGGTTGTTGTGGATGATGAGATGGTAGGGTGAGAGGGAAGGAACAGGGAAGGAACAGAAGGAAGACTTGGTTGTGAAGAGAGAGAGGAAGAGGTTGATGATTCTAAATGAAGGTGATGGGTCAAGGTATTTGATCCGAGAGAAGAATGATTATTTTCTCATTGCATGGGGAAAAAACATGTCTTGGAAGATATTCTACCATGAGAATCGTCGGCGTAAACTAAAATAATGGGAATTTTATTTTCAATCTTATTTTTACTCTTTCTCATACCAAATATGTGCAAATGATTTTTTTCACCCCACTTTTTTGGAAATTTTTTTTTTCTCCTACCAAACACCCCAGGCATTATCATCCGCAATTCAACATTAAATTTTTAAGTTGGTCAAATCAATTATGTCATTAAATTGACTTTGATAAAAGTGTCTTACTTTCAATTCATTCAAATCACATATTCCATTGTGGAAAATGATATAAATATAAAATTTACTCATTCTCATGAATCCTTAGTAAATTTTAGGTAGACTCAATAGTGCATTTAAAAAAAAAATGGTGAAACTAGAATGTCATTTAATGATTTACATAAAAGCTTATAATAAACTTACGGAAATAAAAAAAACATAAATTTCATTTACTCTTGTGTTACAACACGTACCATGAGTCCATGACAATACACAATCAATGTAATTTAATTATTTTTTAAGGTGAGTAGATTTTTTTTGTAGGATTCTCATAAGTTTGAACTCTTTAAACTAATTATGAGACTAATCTAGAGTGCGGAATAAATCACAGATAAAGATTTTAAGCTCCACTCAAAGATAACATATGAGAATCGAACAAAAATTCTTTTTTTTTTTCACTACTCAACTTTCATATACCAATTTTCATAACCAAAGTGATTCAAACAAGAAAAACACAGAAAACAAATGATCCTAAACTGAGAAAAATGGACAAATAAGAAACGCATGTCATTTCAAAGACCACAATTCTGTCACTATTAGACCGCGGAGATTCAAATTCTAAGTCTTCCACCCTTCATACAAGGCAAAAGCGCGCAATCTTGGAAGACAAGGGCAAAAAATATTATTAAAAGAATATGGGGAAAACATAGGGAAGAGCAAAATGGTCATTTCACACAAAATTTTCCCAAATACAAGACATAGTATTAGTAGGAGAGAGAGAGAGAGAAAAGAAACTGTAGTTTCGAAAATGGAAAATACAAGTGTACATGACATTCCTTATCATCGTCCTTTGTTTTGTCCATTTTTCTCTTTCCTTCGTACTACACACTTCAAAGTTCAAACCTTTCTGTGTGCCTCAAATGGAACCCCTCCACCCCTCCTCTCACCTTTACCCTCTTAATTGAATTTACATTTTTTACCCAACAAACCAAATATAATAGAAGAAAAACCCCAAAAACACACCCCCTTTAAGCCAGAGAAAAAGAGAAAAAAAAAATTAGCCTCTCCAAAAACCACCACCTGTCCTCAATTTTCCGCCGGAAAACTGCCTTAGCTCCCTTTTAACACTTTCTCCGTCCATACCCACATCGCCAAAACTGGTTTTCCGACACCCAGAAGGCTGTTTTCTGTTGTGTTTGTTATTCCCCGTTGCCGTAGGTTTAGGCGGGGACGGTGGTGGTTATTACTATTTTTTTACGAGGGCGGCGCTTGCTAACGTGAGCTGGGTGCGTAGGATTAGGTACTTTTAAAAGATAGTGGTGTTTGTTTTAATCGGGAGCGTACACGTGTACGGCGATGGAAACGGAGGGGATGGTGACGTGGGGCACCTGGGAGGAGCTCCTCCTTGGTGGAGCTGTTCTTAGGCACGGGACCCGAGATTGGACCGTCGTTGCCGCGGAGCTCCGAGCCCGAACCGTTTCTCCACACTCATTCACACCCGAGGTAAATAAATTAAATAATATTCCTCAATTATTTATATTTTCATTTTTTTAATTCTCTCTTTTACAATAAAATAAAAAATAATATAGTTCTGGTTCAGTTTCTGAACCGTTACGGGGTCATGATTGACTCATCTAGCTAATTTCATTGCTTAGCATGTGATTACTACAGTTACTGTAATAATAATTTAAATGGATTTTATAAGAGTTATGTCGTAAAAAAAATAATTTTGTTATGTTATAGAAATTTGTTTTTTTTATTTCTAAAAAAAAAAAAAAATTCATTTTGCGTGTCGTAATTTTTTTTTTCAAAACATGCGGATCCCACAAAATGTTATGTATGTAAGAAACTTTGTATGTTCATGTTAAATGATAAATGATAAATGCAAATATCAATTTAAATAAAATAAAACGAATTTATATATGCTTTTCTAGTCAACGAAGTGTTTAGAGTTTAGACTCTTTAATGGGTCGTTACCGAAACCTAAGAATGTGACACAAAAATAATAAGCGAAAAAAAATCTATGTGCTTTTATGTCTTGGCCGTTGCAAAGAAAAGCAATGTATGATTAATGAAGTCGAAAAAGAGATCTAGTTAAGTTCAGAACAGCGTGTTTTGCGTACAGTGGGTGGCATTCACGTGCCAATTGTTTTGTTCCTTATTGGTGCGTTACTTGAATCGAATTTGTTACATTGCTTGCCTCATCGGTTGCACATGGTCATTGAGGTGGCATAAACCCTTTTGTTTCAATTTGTTCGGTGATAAATAATTAATAATTGCCGAACCTCTCTTTTGTAACTTTGCTAATTAGCGTCAGCACATGTGACACGAAGAAAATCTTAAAGACATGCCATGTTGTGTGAAATCCTAAGATGTCCATCGGGTTAAAAAATTATTTGATGAATTTTCATTTTGCTAGAGATATTGTTTTTTTCAGGTCTGTAAAGCCAAATATGACGAATTGCAAAAGCGCTATTCTGGGTGCACGTAAGTAGAATTGTTTCTTTGCTTTATTTTTATTTAAATTTTCCCAGTTTGGTAGCATTCTTTGTCAATTATGTTAAGGTAAAGTTGTTCCTTTGTGACTAAAATGTTATGGGTTCGAATTTGGGAAACAATTTTTTTGTAATTATGCAAGGTAAAGCTGCGTACAAGAATTGCCTTCACCCTGTCCTCGCTAGTCGGGTGTTTAATGCGGAGTAGTCTTTTTCCTAGATTGGTAGCACATCTTATTTAGCTATAGATTTAATACATCTCATTGTATTATGGTAACATAACATGGCATTCACAGGGCTTGGTTTGAGGAGCTTAAGAAGAAAAGAGTAGCCGAGCTTAAGAGAGCTTTGGAGCTATCTGAAGATTCAATTGGGTTAGTCTCATGGTTATCTTTCTCTTTAACCTGAGATTCTGTGTGACACCAAAGTAATATTCTGAAATACAACAAGTATGAATTTCTTCTAGCTTTTTGCTAAATGAAATGTCCACCAAATTTCATAGGTTAGAGCTTCTGATTACCACAAGTGCTAGTCTAGAAATCATTTTTCACAGTCCTGGTTGGGGGGCATTTGTTGGAAGACTACTACTATGTCCTAGCTGTTGGATTGCCAGCATTTCGGGTACAGTTTACTCAATATCTTTGTTTCAGGTCTCTTAAGTCAAAGCTTGAATTCCTTAAGGCTGGGAAGAATGAGAAAAAGGATGATTGCCATGTTGGCAATGCCTCTGTTGGACCAGAATTACATGTTCTTCCTTCACAGAAATTGGAGAGACTCGAATCATCCGCGAAAGAGATGTCAAAGGATGGGCTATCTGCTGGGAGTTTCACACATGAAACTGAGACAAACTGGTTTCCTGAACGCCAGGTTCCAGCAGTGTCTTCTGGAGATATGGAAACTTCTAAGCCTGAAGTTTCAGGGTCTGCTGAACCGGAGAACGTGTTGAATGTAGATAAGTTGGCACATACTATATGTGAAGGACAGGGAGGGAGTTTAAAAAAGCGGAGAGGGATGAGAAAGAGGAAACATTGTGGCAGAAATGTTAATGAAACAAGTGTAAGAGAAAGTGACTTTTCAGCTGATGTGTTCCCATGCAAAGAAAGTTCTACCAGCAACTGTGGTGAAGCTGGCAAATCTTCTGCTATAAATGAGGAGAATACAAACTTGGAAAAGGATGAAACAAAAGATATGATGGAGATTTTGGATTCTGTTCTGGAAATTGAAGGTGCTTCTGCCTTCTGTCGCAGGCGCGATAGCCAGGTATCTCTAAACAAGAAACCCATCCTATCCTTGTATAGCTGGTTTTCGAGTTTTATCAATGCTTTTGATGTTTGTATCTCACCTTGAATAAATAATTTCCTTAACACTGGGGAATGAAAATGGGTAAAATTCAATGTTTAAGAGTTAAACAAAATAATTTTGTTTTTAGTACTTTGTTTCTGCATTTGGATAAAAATAACTAACAATCCCTAATAAGAATTGTGTAATAATTATGAAGATAGTACATTTTATTCTATAGTTTCACAAATACTAGGCAATACGGATGAGCATAAATTTCACTAGTCTTCTTGCATTTTATTTCTTTGACGTTTTCTACAAAGAACGTAAAAGTAAAAATTGAAAGTTTTCATAACTCCATTTTCCCCTCTCAAAGAAAGCATATCGATAATATGACCTTTGCAGTGTTTGTCTCTTTGATATTATTCCTTTTGAAATTGTTTTGCTACGACATGTAGGGATTTAAGGCAAGGTATAGACAGTGATATGATTGGTTTATGCACTATGTTTTTTATAACAGAAGCGTGGAAGATACAAGAAAATGATCCGGCAGCACATGGACTTTGACACAATAAGGTCAAGAATTAGCAGCAGAAAAATTCATTCAGTCATGGAACTTTTCAGAGACTTGCTGCTACTAACCAACAATGCTCTAGTCTTCTACTCAAAGAGCACTCGTGAGTATAAATATGCTCTCTTGCTTAGAGACATTGTCACAAAAAAGCTGAGGGAGAATTCCAAGTGTTTTAGCAGTAGTGTCACTCATGCTAGCGTCCCTAACACCGTACCTATCCATGATCCTCCTTTGAAAGTCAGAAGTGTTCGCCCTGGTAACCGCAAGATTGTTGCAAAGGCAGGTGGTGGTGGTGGTGGCAGTAACACTGCTTCTGGGGTCTCGTATGGAGCCAAGAAACCCAGTAAAGTGGATTCACCACCTTCAGTGGAATCCTTACCCCTAAAGAAAGCTTTTGGTGGTCGACCAAAAAAAGCTAGACATGAAACTGCAGTGCCAATGAAGGAAAAGAAAAGAGGGAGAACAAAGTGATAAATGATTTGTATTTGATTTCCCCCAATAGGTCTTAAAAGGGTATCTTTGTACAAAGGTTTTACCTTTTTTGTTAAGATTTTTTGTTTTTGTTTTCAGAAGGATGAACTTTCATGGAAGGAAACTAACTAAAACTAATTACTTCAAACATGGATGATATGGAATAGTTCTAAATTGAAGTAAAAGTTCCCAATTATAGCAAGTACTTTACTCTTGTCACCCAAAAGAGAAGTATTCAAATTTAAATCAAAAGGAAGTGATAAATAAGCATATTAACACACCGGAGCGGTATTTTACATTATCATCTTATGTGATCTACCTTTGCCTAATTTGGTATAAGAATTCAGATTATTCAAAATGTGAGTTTGATTATAACATTAATCATTCGATATTCATGACCAAGTCCACAAGCAATAAAATTCTTCGCAACTCGGCCAAGCAAGCCACTTGAACATTAGCAAAATTATTTAAAGCCATAGACTTCATATCACATGATGTTATTATGGTATTATATTTTCAGTTAAAATATTCTTATTATAATAAAATGTATAGATAATAACTAAAGACTAAACTAATGAAAATTTGTTTCACGGCATCATCTTTGTTTCAAGTCAATATGAGATTATTTGCACAGGTACCGCCACAATCCCAACCTTCAAATTCAGTTCCTCACCGGAAGAAGAAGCGCAAGAACAAAGCACCGCCGGTGGAGAACAAACTTGTTCATGAAACTGCCGATTCATGTTCCGATTCCTCTGAAACCGTTCGAACCAGCTACGCCGATGGCTGTGACCATGACAACGAGCTCAATATAACTAAACCGTTAAGTCAGAGAAGCGTGAACAGTGGTGGTAGTTACGGAGATTCGACGGTTACAGCAGTTGATGACGGTTACGGGAAGGAAGGTAGTTCGGTTGGTGTTGCAATATCAGAGACGGTTACGGCAGAGGATTCGATTTGTGAGTACATATAATGCTCACGTGCTCTCTCATACTTATAAAGATGATTTATTTATTCATTATTTTTTTTCAGGAACTCTATTCAGAGCATCAGATTTATTTAATATCAGATTTTTTTTATTTTTTTATTTCTTTTATAGCTTTTAAGTTATTTTGCATATTTGCATCCCAATAGGCAATAGCTACTACTACTTGTTTTGTATTGTGCATACATATTTTGTCTAAGAGCTAAAATATATTAGGCAATGAGCTACTATTAATGGACTAAGCAACAATCAATCATAATAATTGGGTTCGAGATCACGACTCAACCCAAAATGAAGTCAATAAGTCCACGAGTCTTTCCACTCATATGATTCTTACTTGGTCTATTTTTAACTAAAGTGAGAATTCATCCCTTACACGAATTCCCAGCGGAATATACATCGCCCTCCAGGGATATAGTTTAAGAAAATAAAAGTTAAGTTTGTCCCATTAATATAATGGTGCTTTAAATATGATAGATTTTGAAATTCTGTTAAGTTGGTTCTTTCTTGACATTTAAGTGATAATTAATATGAATGCATACATTGTAGTCCATTTCAGTGATAAATAAAGAGCAGTTTTTGACAGAGATTAAAGCTATGGCAGATTTTCTTGTGTTACATCTGTTCTTCAATCAATCTAAACCAATACCAATCAATGGTCTGTAATACTGGTTATTTCAAAAAGTTTGTTGCCTGCCTTTTGTGTCTTATTTTATTAAGGCATTTGTGATGTACAATATGTTTTCAGTGAAACAGTCACCTGTAAAATACTTCTTGGAGAAACTGTACAAAGGAAATTCCTTATGGAGCACAACAACTCTTGGGAATGAAAAGGAACGAGAAAGAGTTTATGACACTATCTTCCGCTTGCCGTGGAGATGTGAATTGGTATACTTTCCTTTATGTTCATTAAAAAATAAAAATAATAAAAGGGAACTCTGTTTGCAGTTCTTGATGTCATCTATGGGTATACTCATCAGATGGTCGGAATAAAATATAGAAGTTCTGGTGAAAGGATGTAACCTTAAAATGTCCACTTACTGTATAATTGTTATTTTATAGTTGTTTATTTCTATTAAGACATTGTTACTCAAACGTGGAATGCATTTGCAGCTTATAGATGTTGGTTTCTTTGTCTGCTTCAATTCATTTCTGTCATTATTAACTGTCATGCCAACAAGGGTAGTAATGACCATTTGGAGGCTTCTAAAAACAAGGTTTGCCACCTTTCTTCAATACTCTTCTCTTATAGTACTTTAATGTCAGTTGAGCGTGCCTATGAGGATTTAGATGATAGACTTATCCTACAGTATCTGTTACTTTAGTTTAGAATTGTGACTTAAACAGTGTCCATCTAGTACAATCTTACTAGTATTCAGTATCAGAAATCACAATAAATCTTTAAGTAAGAGAACAGGGTGATTTTTGTAGACTCATGCCACCCAGATTAAGCAGATGGTTTAATGAGACATTCTAAATGTGATATAGGCCTGAATTTTTAATTTTTAATTAGACTGGATTACCCCGATTCTGTGTTCACTGAAGAAGTTGAATCAATCTCCCACTTTATATGCTATGCTAATTCTTGTGCTTTGATTTGTATGCTCTTCAGCCTCTTCTACAAATTCCTGTGTACTGTTTTAAATTTCTGCTGCTTGTTCATAATTTTCAGTTTTACACTATGACCTTGTCATGCTCTTGGCAGGAGGTTCAAGAGGCCATCTACAATTGAGTTGTCAGATTTTGGCTGTTTTCTTATTATGGCTTGTGGAGTCACTGTTTTGCAGCAAATAGGTATACTGATAGTCTGCTTGTATTTTGCATATTTCCTTTTTGTATTGATCAGGTTTGGTTTGTTATACTAAATTTGTTTATGCTCCCCACCCCTTAATTTTATCTTGTCATAGATATCAGCTTAATATATCATATGATCCGTGGTCAAGGAACAATCAAATTATATGTGATCTACAATGTCATAGAGGTGAGCATAAATTAATCTTTGAACTCGGGTTGAACAGATTAATTAGGTGTTGTAAATATTAGGGTGTATATCTTGTAATTAATTCTGATTTGATTTGATTCTGTTTTATAAGGTAGATTAGTTTCCCTATTTTTAGCCTTAAATTAGGAAAGTAATTATTTGGGTTTATTCCCATTAGGCTTTATATATAGTAGCCCTTTTTACATGAAATGGAGTGAAGTAATATTCATTATTTTCCCATATTTCAACTTTAGGTCTCCATATATGCCAAATTTCTGGACCTCTAATTGGAAATAAAGATTGATATTTAAATTAGATTTCATGTGTGGTACTTCCTCGCTGAGGTTCCCGGCCAAAGATAGCGAGCAAGAACTTGGTGTGACAAAGAGGATATTCCATAATATGAAAGAATGGAATTTTGCACTATGAATCATGATTTCTCAGATCCAGTGAGATGAGATTTGATGCTCTCTCACATTCTATTTTTATTGGTCACCAGTACCTGTGCCCCTCAGAAAAAATATTTACAGTTTTGCATAGATAAAATAAAAGGAGAGGAAGTTCAAAATCTGAGATATAGTAAAAGGCTTGTAAAGATTAATAAAGGAATTGTATTGACTTTAGTTTGGTGAGAATTGAGATGTGGAACTCAAAGTTGAAAAGTAACTAAAGGAATGGTGTAATATATATGGGTATCTATAATGAGGCCTTTTGGTATTTGAACAGTTTTTTTCGCAATTACTCGAATTGTAAGCTAAGGAGTTATAGGATTCTTTTTTAGTCCTGTCATAGTGATCTGGTCTGAAACTAATATTGTGACTAATCCTTTAATCTTCTTGCAGATATTTGATAAATTATGTCAGAGTTTTAATGCGGATGTATTGCAAATGTTATTTCATTCAGCAGAACGACTTGCAAGATGTAATCCAGAAACAGAAAGTGTGAAATGGAAATTTATTTCTGACCAAGTTTTAGCTATTATTACTTCAAATATCCTTTTTCTCTCGGATGCTAATTTCTTTTGCCTGTAGTTTAGGTAATAAATTTTAGCGTGAACCTTGTAGTAAGTGGTACGTTTGTTCCTTTATTACCAGAAGGTCATGAGTTCGAATTTAATAAATAGTCTCTTTACGAAAATGTAAGGGTAAGGTTGCATAGAAATGACTCTCAAGTCTCATCGGTACCCTTGCAAAGTCGAGGAGCTTTTGTGTATTGGTGTTTGCCCTGTAGTTTGGGTAATTATTTTATGGTATTAAGACAAAAGATAAAACAAAAATGCTGGTTAGTTTCCTTGACTTGTCGTACTTGTTCATTCTTTCGTCTTGTTAGTTCAGGCAATCACTTTATCAGCCTGTATTGTTGCTCACTACAATGCTCTGCCAGCTTTGCTGGTGTCAAATAATTTTGCTGAGATCAAAAGCTACGTGTTTAAGGGATATAGTAAGGATAATGTTCACAGAATGGTGTACTTTGGTGAGTTATCTTTCTATAATAATTCCTTTTCTTTCTTTGATGGCAGCTTATTTGGGATTTCGTTCTGCTTCATTTCAAAATTGGAAAAGGACCTTAATACTATTTGTGTGAGTCCTAACCAGTTACTACTGTGAATTATCTCCCAAATCTCAATTACCACTCACTTAGTGGCTTTTATATAAATACATGAATTTTAAATATTTACCGGATTGTTCTTTTGTTTTCAGTGTCAAATTTTTTTAAAATTATATATCTTTCTTTTTAATGAATAATGATGTCAACCAAGTAAAATCGCTTTAATGTTATGAACTGTAAAACTTGACTGAATTTTATTTTGAAACCTGTTATTTGAATCTAAAATGTAGGGCCTTCCTTTGTCAGTTTGCTCTCCACCTTTTCCATGTGGCACATAATACAGTTGATTCTAGAATATAGAGCCTACCTTTGATAGAGTGCCTGTTCTGCATTTTATGTCAATATTATTTAAGATGTATTTTTTTAATTTATAATCTTTCATTATTTTCTATTTTTCCCTTTTAATTTTTGCTGATAAGCAGATTCCATAGAGAGGTTCCACATCTCAGCATTTATCTTATTCGTTTTGGCTCAAAATATTCTTGAGGCAGAAGGCCCCTGGATTGAAAGCTTTCTCATTGTAAGATTATTTGGAAATTTATAGCACCTAATATATATTGCATAACTTTCTCAAGTGTGAATAAGTTTCCTTGTTTGGCTTAGTCTTGCTCCTAACACTGGTATTTTGTATGGTCCAGAATATATTCTTCGTTTATCTATGTGAAATGGCTATTGATATTATCAAGCATTCTTTCATTGCCAAATTCAACAACATTACGCCCATTGCATACTCTGAGTTCCTTGAAGTCCTATGTAAACAGGTATTGCCATTTGATTTCATGTGGATGTTAGCCATGCAATATGATCAGTAATTACCACTTAAAAGGGCATAAACAGCTGGAACCATCTTTGTGTAATAGTGTTTATTTTATTCTAGTCGCTATTCAAAGTCAAAATTTTCAGTGGATTTATGTGAACTGCATTGAATGTACCAACACCCTCCATAACTCAATCAAAATGCTTTTGAAATCATTTGCTGCAGCCTGCAGTATGTTTTGATCAGAAAGGGGCTATATGGACTGAACTGACAGAACATAATTATATCCTGTTCCTCTAAATTTCTTTCATTTTTATCCTTTTCAATTCAATATTTCTTTTGGGTTTCATTATTGTATTATTTGTCTGCTGATATAATTTAAAGAGACTCTTGGGAAGACATGATGATAAGCAGTTTGTACATTGGATGAATGGAATATGGAACGTTCACATTTAATTGGCTCTCATCAAACAAATTTTCTCAAAGTAACTACATTTGCTCATTGGTCCAGTTCTCTAATTGAATATACTCCATGTCTTCCGAATAATCTCTCTGTAGTTGATCTCTTGATGCTTATCTAAAAAATGGATTATTATGATTTGTAGTGGTTTCTCATGTAATGGAGTGTGCATAGACATGTGTTTTTGTGTAAGACAGAAAGCGAACAGTATTAACTGACATTTGAGAATGCCTTCGTGTTAAGAATGACATAATTCTGGAACTTTTATTTGTTTGGAACAGTGACCAAAGTGCCACGCTTCATCAAATTATTTACCGGACTGCCACGCCAACAGTAAAAATTCCCGGAATGCCACGCGACATAATTCGCTACACTATGTAGCGAATTATGATTGCTGATGTGGCACGTCTCAATTGGAGGAATAATTCGCTACACTGTGTAGTGAAATACGTGGTCAAAATATCAGAGTACACAGTCAGCAGCAAGACACGTGTCAAGCCAGCAGTAATTCGCTACACTGTGTAGCGAATTATGCAAGATGATGTGGCAAAGATCTGTTGGTTGAGTAATTCGCTACACAGTGTAGCGAATTACTGCTGGCTTGACACGTGTCCTGCTGCTGACTGTGCACTCTGACATTTTGGCCACGTATTTCGCTACACAGTATAGCGAATTATGCCGCGTGGCATTCCAAATTTTTTTACTGTTGGCGTGGCAGTTTGGTAAATAATTTGGTGAAGCGTGACAAAATGGTCACTATTCCTATTTGTTGCTATTTGTTTTGTATTATGACCATCAATTTACAGTAACTTTTTGTCTGTTTTCTTTGATGGACGTTTCAGAATATATGACTGACTGCTGGTTTTATTTTGTAGACTCTACATATGCAAACTGAGGATGCAAAGAAAAACCTTACTTTTGTCCCTCTTGCTCCAGCATGTGTGGTAAGCATTAATTATTTTAGACTAAGTTGGATGAAAGGGTTTGGTGGGAAAGGGAAGAGATGGTTAATTTTTCATTTTTTAATTGAGAATATTTATATAATGTTTAAAAAAATGAATAAGGGATGATTGGAAGGCTATGTGATAATATCTCACTTTATTCCTTTCATTTTAAAAAATTCCCAAATAAGATTATTTACTGTTAGCACTTGGCCACCAATTAGGAACATATATATTAGAAGACATAAGGATGGGCCCAAGGAGTCCATTGGGCCGGCCACTATTAGTTAGGCTCTGTTAGTTAAAATAGTTAGTTAGTTAGACCTACAAGTCTTAACTGCAGCAGCAAAATAGGATATGAAGAGAGGGAGAGAGTGTTAAGAAGCATTTGGTTATATTGTCAGTTAGTTTTGAAGGAAGAGATCAGTCTTTTGAGTTTATGAGGATACACCATTGTATAATTGCTCTTCTTAACCCTGGATACCCATTGATCCGGAGTTGGAGTATAGTGAATAAAATTCCCACAGTATCTTTCTGCTATTCCCTAAATTCTGGTCTAGTTCTATCATTTACTTAAAAGGAAAAATTTTTCATCCCTTCCCTTTCCCTCCAAACATGTAAGGATGATAAATATGCAAGGGTAAGGCCGCGTTCTAAAATTTCCTTCATTTCTACCCTCGCTAGTCAGGATTTAATGGAGCATGGATTTTTCCTTTCCCTCCAAATATACCCTGAATGTCCTTTTGTTTCCTGATTTGTGGCTTCTGATCATTGTATGTCTGATTTTTTTCCGCTTTCCTTTTACTTGTTAGGTAATTCGAGTTCTGAGTCCGGTATATGCTGCTATCCTTCCTTACAATCCCCTTCCATGGAGGCTTATTTGGATTATGCTATTTTCAGCAATAACTTACATTATGCTCACAAGCCTCAAGGTCCTAATTGGCTTGGTTCTACAGAAACACGCCACTTGGTATGTTAATCGCTGTCAAAGGAGGAAGCGTCATCCTCATGCAGATTAATATAAGATGGATCAACTAAATTAATGTACTCTGCTGTTCAGGGATTCCATTGTGGCTGAAGAGCACATGTGGAGATAAAGTATTGGCATTCATTTAACTTCTAGCACCAAAGGAGCATGCACACTTAATATTTTTTATTTTTTTTGGTATAACCTGGAGGTATCTTCATTCAATCTCTTCCGGTCACCTTGCTCTCGGGGTACGGCCCTGTAGGCTAGCTCCTCATTGGAATAGCAGGTGCATTGAGCTTCGCTACCGGAGAAAAGATGAGACTAATCCTCCATTCGAGGAGGGAGGCACATCCTCTGGCCTCCAAATTTTTTTCAACAATTTGCTTGAGGCAAGGTTTGAACCTCTGACTCAAGCAAACCCTTGGGAGCTCAGTTGCCAACTGAGCTATCCTTAGGGGGCGTTTGGTTGAGGAGAAATTTTTATGAATCATAGGAAAATGTGATTAGTAGGCAAATGGTTGGGAAATGAGTTTGGTAGGAAAATGTAAAAAAAGTTGTTTGGTAGGGAAAAATTTTACCGGAAAAATTAGGTAACTTTTGTAAAATCTATGTTTGGCTTTTGGTAAAATATAGATGGCGAAAAAATGTGATATTACAAAAATATCCTTGTTTTTAAAAAATGTTGATAAGCCTTGCTGCCCTTTACCCATAAAAAAAAAGTCTTTTCCTTATTACACATTATACCCACATCAGAAAAGGGTTTCTTTGGCTAGCTTTCTTGCTTCAAAATGCTAGATAAAGTGGTTTGCTAGCAAAGGAATTTAGGTACCTAAATTAGGAACCTCTCTCAACCAAACATGGACATCCAATTTCCCCACTTCACATTTGTCTATCAATCTCCTCAAAAACCTCCGACCAAACACACCCTTAGGTGTTAAAAAATATGTTGTACCATTGTGATGCTCATGCATGAGCTGTTCAGGCTTGAAAAATATGGATAGTGCTCTCATATCATGTCAATGACCAACTTTCTTAAAATGCTTAAGCCGTTTAGTGTAGTTTTTTTGGAATGATTTATATTTAACATTATCTACGTTTTCATTCTTCCCCTTTTAAATGGTGATACTCCATTTCTTAGTAATTGATCTTAATGATCAATCTTCCTCAGAGCTAATTTGTACAATTTCAAGAAACAGGGTTCTTCCATCGATGATTATTAAACTCCCAACGAGAGCCCAACAGTGTTTTAACAATATAAGAGTGGAAATTTCTTAGTAATTTGTACACGAGTGGAAATGATGTGGAAATCGAGTATCATTGAAAATAGCATCCTTTGAAATAAATAGATGACCAACAGCAATCTAATCACTAACAGAACAGAAACAAACTCCACTAATATAAGAGTATCTTTAACAATATAACAGAACCCATCGCATGCAAGAAGCTATTACATAAGAGTTGCTACAATAATTCAACTCGTATCCTCTATTACGGGTGCTTAGTACTGTCTTATGGTAGCAAATCGGACCCTTCGACCACAAGCAATCTCAACTAGTGATTGAAAACGTAGCTTAAAAATATTGTTTTTATTTGATCTTTCTATCACAATCACTTGAACAAGCAAAAATCAGTGGAACGTATCCTTATTAGCTACTCAACAAACCTTCTAGGCTGCAGCTTTTCAGACAAAATTATCAGCCTGTTTGGATCCTCTTATTTTTAAGCTAGAAGCTGCTTATAAGCTAAAGCTAAAAAAAAGAGCTTAAAAAAATAAGCTAAAAGCTGTTTGGAAATTACATAAAAGTTTTAGCTTAAAAATTACTTAAAAGCACATATTTCAAGAAAATTATCTCTTTCTATCTTTATCACTCTCCATTTTAAAAAAAAGCACACAATTCAAGAAAAACAAATAAGAGCTTAAAAAAAAGCTCCTCCTAGGAGCTTTTAGTTTTCAGCTTTTTTCTTCATTATAAAAAAAGAGTTTTTCGTTATAAGAGCTTTTTCCAAAACCTGTTTGGCCTAACTTATGCTTATAAGTAGCTTGTATCTTAAAAAAAAGAGGATTCAAACAGGCACTATATCTAACTACCCGGCTTAGAAGCACCAACCAATTATGTTGTTAATTCTTCGCGATTGACCAATTGAGATAGCTATCCATGCATGCTGCAACTTAATTGATTAATCATCTGAAATTTGAGCAAATAATTAATATAAAAAATTGAAAGGATGAATGAAGCCATAAAACTTATATATGCGCTTCAATAGTTAATAGGTTTTATTAGTGTTATCTAACATAATGTAAGTGTTGTTTCCAACTCTCACGTCAAAAGAGAGAGAAAGTGAAATGATGAAAGAGAAAGAAAAATATGTGGACCCCACCTCTTTAATGTGTGTGTAGGACAGTGAAGTTATATTATGTTAAATGATAAACATAAAACCCATAGTTAATTCATATTTTTATCTCTGTTGAAACTATTGGGATAAATATAATTTTGTTATGCCGTCCGCTATTTCATTCACTCAATTAAACAATTTATTTCCAGAATGCGACTTATTTTCTTTAAAGAGACTCCAAAAATGAAAATTAACATATAGAACATGCATGAAATAACTAAGGAAGGCATGTTGTGTGTATTATATATCATTGTCAGATTTAATTAATTGTAATTATTCAAAGTCACTGCTAAGAATGTAACAATTTACTTGGGACCAAATTGTTTAGAATATGTTGTAAAGTTCGTAATGGATCCTGAAGAATGACTTGTCTTTGATCATACTAGAGAGTTTTGGATAATACCTGCACAGGATAATTTGGTGGTGTATCTTACAAATTACACTTCAATGTACCATATTTTAATGATGAAATTTAATAAATAAGATGCATAGGATATAGAATCTAAATTAGGATTAACTAAATAATAATTATAGTCACGACTCACGAGTGATGAGGCTCAAACATTGAGAGGAGTAGGGACAACGGCAAGATGAATATCTGAGTTCCCAAACAGCTTAGGAATCTTGGTATCAAGCCTCAACGAGAGCTCTAATACCATCACTCTAATACTATCAGGAGACGTTTGGTTGAGGAAAATTTTTTTGAATACTAAGAAAATGTAATTGATAGAAAAATAGTTGGAAAGTGAGTTTGGTAGGAAAGTTTAAAAAAAGTTGTTTGGTACCGTAAAATATTAGTAGGGAAATTGAGTTAAATATGCTGAGTGTATGTTTGGTTGAAAATAAAAATTTGATGGGGAAATAGATGGAATTTACGAAAGTAACCTTTTTATAAAATTTTGAACCATTACAACATATAAAAAGAGGGGTATTAATGTCATTGTATTCACCCACTTTTTCATTTCTCCAGATTTTGACAAGAAATACCACGACTGTAGAAGCATTCTTCAAGAGTGAATTTATCCAATTTTAACATGCTTTTGTACTTAGATAGCAAAGTGTGTTTGATGACTAAAAGTAATGGAATCCTTCAACCAAATGAGGAGAATGGAGATTGCTACATGCACTTAGATGGGAAAATTTTAAGAAGACTTGAACCAAACACTTCAGAGAAAGTGACTAAAAGTGAGAGAAAAAGAAAAAGGAGAGAGAAGAAAAGTAGTATGAAACTGTACGTATTTTCTGTTATGTAAAAGTGTTGCGAGTGTGAAATTAATGGATTTACAATGTTGAGATTATAATAATATTTCTATATAAGAATATAGTATATGTTACCCGGATTTAGAGGAAGTCCGTGACGGGGGACCATCATCAATGAGCTAAGTATAACAAATACATCAAGTGAGTTCGACATCACATCTCAACCCAAAACCTTAAGGTTATGGGTCCTTCCACTTATATATTTTTCACTTAATCCATTACCAACCAATGTGAGACTCATCACACTTGAATAACTCAACAATCTCTCCTTCAAGTGTGAAACCAACATTGTTATGTTCTCCCTCAACCGAGTACCCCAGGACCCAAGTACTCAACCCGCCTCCTAGCCAATTACCAAGCTAGCTCGAGCACAATCCAGCTCTGATACCACTGTCAGGCGGGTCCAGGGGAAGCTCGTGCGAGGGATCACCACCAATGAGCTAAGTATAACAAATACACCAAGTGGGTCCGACACCACATCTCAATCCAATGCCTTAAGGTTTTGGGTTGAGTGTTGAAAATCGATAATCACTCAAATCGCAAACGAAAAGAGAAAGAGAGAGAATAGACACAGAGATTTACCCTGGTTCACCCAATTTAGGCTACGTCCAGCTTGTCTATACTATATTCACCTCAGCGCCACTCGTTACAAGTCACTCAGTCTACAAGAAGAATATAAATTGGATTAGAAAACCCTAACAACAGCTATTCATGGGCTAAAGCCCAAACTATTAAGAAAATAACAATAAATCAGAGGCCCCCAACAGTACTTAGCCTCTACGGGTCTAGGGGCGCTGCCCCCCGGACCCCCGCCCGCTCACCAGTTGTCTTTCTGCTGACCCAATAATTAGGACCCTCATCAGCATGCGAAATATGAGCCATACCCAAGAGTATATGGTTCTATATTCTCCGAAGTGATTAAGGGCAGAAGGTTTCTATATTCAGGAAGATGTATATTTCATCTAATAATTAATGTGTTTGGCTTATTTGCCCTTCTCTACAGTTGAAATCTAAACCTTAGTTTAACGATATTGTTTTTTTATTAAATTATATTTCTCAGGGGATCATTACACCCTATGATGCACGAACACGGACACGGGACACGACACGATACGACACGTCGACACGTTAATTCTAAAAAATGTCATATTTTGACACGTTGGGACACGTTTTGATATTAAATAATATTTTTAATTATATATAATATAATTTATATTTAATACATATAACAGAGCAGATCACAAGAAACTGGTATTATTTTTGTAAGAGTAGAGATGAATTGTAATAATAAATGTCTCGTACTATAAATTATTATGTGTATTCTATTTAAAATTACATAATTAATTTTTATAATCTACAACTCAACATTTGATGTACTACAGTCTATAAGTCTATCTTCACTTTAAATAAAGTCTAATCTTTGCATCAGAACACCAGAACACATACGCGGTGAGGGAAAAAAGACATTTATTAGTCACATCTAACCTCAAGTGGGGTCAAGAACTTAACCATGAATTATAACCAGGGTTGAAAAATAAGTGGTTAAGGAGGAGACACCACATAACCCAGATTTTTATCATCAACAGTAGTCTGAGCATCATCATCAAAGATTCATCTCTCAGACCATCATTTTGCTTCTCGTTCTTCTTCACCTTCAAAGTAACCCTTCTTCTTTTTTCCTCCCTTTTCATTATCCCTTCTTTACAACCCAACCCAGACCAAACATGATTCCGGCGAAGACGACGATGAAACATGAGATCCTGGCATGGACGAACCACCAGATCGATCCGAAGGGCATTTCTTCATGGCCGACGAGTTGGTCCCGAGTTCTCGTTCTTCTTCATTCTTCCTCTTCTTACAATTTTTTATATATTTTATTTTA